AAAGGAAACGGAAAAGCGGCATATTTATAGCCAGGGAGCCTGGATTCCTTGTTAAGCCACTGTTATCAAATTAATGTCAAAATGCATCAAACAGGCATGAGTGTTCTGGGCTCCTTATGCAAAGTGCTTGCAAATTGGTTACAAATACATTTGTTTACAGGGTACGAAGCAGGAGCTCACTAATTAGTCATTGTACCAATTTTTTTTGGCAGTTACACAAATGAGCTGTTTTGAAGTATAAATATAAGAGATTTTATGGCCCTCTTTTTTTTTTAACCAAAAAAAAAAAATAATTTTTTTTTTGAGGGTTTTAAAGTGAGCTGTGTGGTACCAGGTATCCTAGGGTATGTAGTGCTGGCAATCCGTGAATTGGAAATCAGGGGACTGTTTTGAAGTACTGTAAACTGGCTAAATGTCTGACACTGTGTTTCAATGAGTAACGATGGTATTTGAAGAGGGAGATGGGTTGGCCTCTGGCACAGCTCCAGCTTTGTGTCTGGGCCTCTTGCGGGTCCCTGTTCCTCAGATAGGGGATGGGAGATTCTGTGCTGGAATGTACAGGAGTTGTCAGAGTTACAGCAGGGGTAGACTTGGCCCATCATGTTCATAAGTGTCGAGGTCACTTTCTCGCCTCTGCTGCAACATGATGTGCTGTGTAGCCACAGGCAGCAGGTCGCAGCAAATGGGAGGTGACGCAGTGTTCAGGGGCAAAGACGTGACCTTGCACATCATGGCAGATATTTTCAAAATACACATTCAGAAGTGGCAGGTGCCATAATGCTCTGGCATTTGTGATGCTGCAGCCTGATCTTCCATCACACCACACACTTGCTCAGGCCTGCCCTTCAGTATGGGGCATGCAGCATGCGTGCACGTCACCCTGGAGCCATCTCTGCTTCCACTCAGCTGAAGAGAAAGACCTTTGCTCTGGTAACTGAAGTCATTTCATCGGCTGGGCGTAGCCATAAGAAAACCAAGGACCACCATTCACCACAGATCAGTTAAGGCCCCTGTAATGTGGCCTAGGGGATAAGGCACAAGGCTGGGTGGCAGGAGATCTGGGTTTTCTTCTGAGCTCTGCCCATGACCAGCTTGGTGATCTTAGGTAAGTCACCTCTGTTGGTGCATCTGTAAAATGGAAATAATACTTGGAAGCAAAGAGCTTCAAATGGCATCTGTGACATAAGCACAGTATGTTTTTTGTTTTTAGCTTCATGTATATAGTGTGAATGAAGGATCAGTCTTCACTGCCAAAGGGCCATTCTTTAGCTTCATGTACCCCTAGGATAGCCATATGAATACCGTATTAATGTAAATGGTCACTGTGATCTCTTTTTGTAAGGAATAAGGCCTGGCATAACCACCCTGGAGTCTAGCTAGAACCTAACTAGCTAGACACTGACTGTGCCACCTTTAAATAGGAAACATCGTAGGAGAGATTGCCTGGCTTATATGGATCGGAATAGGCAGTGCTTAACTTGTAATGAAAAGGTGCCAGGGCTCAAGCTGTTTAGCTGGAGAGTGGCGGTTGCAGGCCAGGTGCCCAGCTCTAAAGGCGGAGCCACCGCCAACAGCAGCACAGAAGTAAGGGTGGCATGGGAGGATGTATTGCCACCCTTACCTCTGTGCTGCTGGCCTTGAGCCCAGAGATGCCAGGGCTATGAACTGGCAACCCTAATGGTGCCGGGGCAAGAATTATGCACTGGAAATGGAAGTTTATCCTGGTCAGCCAATTCAGGGTGGGGAAGCTGGGCCAGTTTAGGAAAGAATAAGGCTAAAAATTTTAGGGGTAATTTTAGGATAGAATGAGGCTAAAAATCCATCTTTATTCATCCTACACACCAGCACCATAGCCCCCGGACATGGGGGAGAGCCTAAATGAAACCAACCTCCTGGCCAGGGAGGATATAGCTGAAGGCTTTTCAATTTTATAGGAAAGAGAGAAGGAAAGGCTAAATATTGCCTCTTTACAAACCAAAGCCTCAGGATCTCCACTGGAAGGAATGTTAATAGCTCTGCGGTATATTCTCCCTTTGTATCATTTCTGGTAAATTGCCCTTCAGGCTGAAATAGCCTCCCTGACAGCGCTGGCCTCTGTGGCACTGGGCCAGGCAGGATCTCCACTACCTGAGACGCTGGGAACATTTGAGTTTAATGCCGTCGTAAAACACTGCTGTGGTTTCCATTCCCTGCAGTAGCCAGGCATGAAGTCCAATTTCGGCCCTGCTTTCACACAGAAAGGCATGAGTTTTCTCCACAGCAGAGTCTACATAGCATGGACAGGTGTAGCATGCACAGATGGGGCCTCAGGAATTAGACGATATCTCGGGCATCTCACCCAAACAACAGGGAACTGCTCTTTGTGCCTGTGTTCTTGGGGTTTTATTTTGGAAGGCATTTGGACCTGTTGCTGCTGAATAGCCACTATAGCAGGCCTAGAAAAGGTCACTTTATCTCCCTGGCAAACCAGATGCCTGCTCATCACGGGCTGCTGGGCTCTTGACATCCCCCTAAAACCAAAACTCTGATCCTGAACCTTCATACCCTAAATCTCCATGCCAGCCCTACATTTCATTGACATGTTATAACCACACCTACAAATCTAGCAATATTTGTAACCATAGCTTACGTGTATCTGGAACCTTCCATCCTGAAGACTCCCAAAGCCTGTCACGATACATATAGGACACCACTGAAATGCAGCCACTGCTGGGGTGGAGGGCAGCAACCAACTAGCAAACAGCAGGAGCAGAAATTATGGCCCAGGGGACTAGTTTAAGCCCCTACTGCTCTTTCCAAAATATCACAGAATCTTGGCTAGCCACCCAGGACTTTCTTTTACGATCTTGGGTAACATTTTTAAAAGGGCCCAAGTGACTTCAGAGCTTAAGTCCTGTTTTCAAAAGTGTCTTAGGTGCTTTGGAGTAAAAATCTCTGATTTTTGTAGGTCAGTTTTCCTTGGAAGGACAACTGTTCCTGTTGAGATTTAAACGTGATTTTCTTGCTTTTTCCAGCATCAATCTCCCAATCGCCTAACCCTTGGCCTGGAGATCTGTTATGTGTGAGTCTGACTCAGCTTCAGCAGTCTGTGTGCATATGTTGGCCAGCCAGCTTTACTTAGGACACTAGGGGTATGTCTACACTACGAAATTAGGTCGAATTTATAGAAGTCGTTTTTTTAGAAATCGGTTTTATATATTCGAGTGTGTGTGTCCCCACAGAAAATGCTCTAAGTGCATTAAGTGCATTAACTCGGCGGAGCGCTTCCACAGTACCGAGGCAAGCGTCGACTTCCGGAGCGTTGCACTGTGGGTAGCTATCCCACAGTTCCAGCAGTCTCCGCTGCCCATTGGAATTCTGGGTTGAGATCCCAATGCCTGATGGGGCTAAAACATTGTCGCGGGTGGTTCTGGGTACATATCGTCAGCCCCCCGTTCCCTCCCTCCCCCCGTGAAAGCAAGGGCAGACAATCATTTCGCGCCTTTTTTCCTGAGTTACCTGTGCAGACGCCATACCACGGCAAGCATGGAGCCCGCTCAGCTCACTTTGGCAATTAGGAGCACATTAACCACCACACGCATTATCCAGCAGTATATGCAGCACCAGAACATGGCAACGCGATACCGGGCGAGGAGGCGACGTCAGCGCGGTCCCGTGAGTGATCAGGACATGGACACAGATTTCTCTGAAAGCATGGGCCCTGACAATGCATGCATCATGGTGCTAATGGGGCAGGTTCATACACCGATGAACGCCGATTCTGGGCTCGGGAAACAAGCACAGACTGGTGGGACCGCATAGTGTTGCAGGTCTGGGACGATTCCCAGTGGCTGCGAAACTTTCGCATGTGTAGGGGCACTTTCATGGAACTTTGTGACTTGCTTTCCCCTGCCCTGAAGCGCATGAATACCAAGATGAGAGCAGCCCTCACAGTTGAGAAGCGAGTGGCGATAGCCCTGTGGAAGCTTGCAACGCCAGACAGCTACCGGTCAGTTGGGAATCAATTTGGAGTGGGCAAATCTACTGTGGGGGCTGCTGTGATGCAAGTAGCCCACGCAATCAAAGATCTGCTGATATCAAGGGTAGTGACCCTGGGAAATGTGCAGGTCATAGTGGATGGCTTTGCTGCAATGGGATTCCTTAACTGTGGTGGGGCTATAGACGGAACCCATATCCCTATCTTGGCACCGGAGCACCAAGCCGCCGAGTACATAAACCGCAAGGGGTACTTTTCGATAGTGCTGCAAGCTCTGGTGGATCACAAGGGACGTTTCACCAACATCAACGTGGGATGGCCGGGAAAGGTGCATGATGCTCGCATCTTCAGGAACTCTGGTCTGTTTCAAAAGCTGCAGGAAGGGACTTTATTCCCAGACCAGAAAATAACTGTTGGGGATGTTGAAATGCCTATATGTATCCTTGGGGACCCAGCCTACCCCTTAATGCCATGGCTCATGAAGCCGTACACAGGCAGCCTGGACAGTAGTCAGGAGCTGTTCAACTACAGGCTGAGCAAGTGCAGAATGGTGGAAGAATGTGCATTTGGACGTTTAAAGGCGCGCTGGCGCAGTTTACTGACTCGCTTAGACCTCAGCGAAACCAATATTCCCACTGTTATTACTGCTTGCTGTGTGCTCCACAATATCTGTGAGAGTAAGGGGGAGACATTTATGGCGGGGTGGGAGGTTGAGGCAAATCGCCTAGCTGCTGGTTACGCGCAGCCAGACACCAGGGCGGTTAGAAGAGCACAGGAGGGCGCGGTACGCATCAGAGAAGCTTTGAAAACCAGTTTCATGACTGGCCAGGCTACGGTGTGAAAGTTCTGTTTGTTTCTCCTTGATGAAACCCCCCGCCCCTTGGTTCACTCTACTTCCCTGTAAGCTAACCACCCTCCCCTCCTCCCTTTAATCATTGCTTGCAGAGGCAATAAAGTCATTGCTGCTTCACAGTCATGCATTCGTTATTCATTCATCACACAAATAGGGAGGTGACTACCAAGGTATCCCAGGAGGGGTGGTGGAGGAGGGAAGGAAAATGCCACACAGCACTTTAAGCACAGCACTTAAAAGTTTACAACTTTAAAATTTATTGAATGACAGCCTTCTTTTTTTTGGGCAATCCTCTGTGGTGGAGTGGCTGGTTGGCCGGAGGCCCCCCCACTGCGTTCTTGGGCGTCTGGGTGTGGAGGCTATGGAACTTGGGGAGGAGGGCGGTTGGTTACAGAGGGGCAGCAGTGGCAGTCTGTGCTCCAGCTGCCTTTGCTGCAGCTCAACCATACACTGGAGCATACCGGTTTGGTTCTGCAGCAGCCTCAGCATTGAATCCTGCCTCCTCTCATCACGCTGCCGCCACATTTGAGCTTCAGCCCTGTCTTCAGCCCGCCACTTACTCTCTTCAGCCCGCCACTTACTCTCTTCAGCCCTCCACCTCTCCTCCCGGTCATTTTGTGCTTTCCTGCACTCTGACATTATTTGCCTCCACGCATTCGTCTGTGCTCTGTCAGTGTGGGAGGACAGCATGAGCTCGGAGAACATTTCATCGCGAGTGCATTTTTTTTTCTTTCTAAGCTTCACTAGCCTCTGGGAAGGAGAAGATCCTGTGATCATTGAAACACATGCAGCTGGTGGAGAAAAAAAAAGGGACAGCGGTATTTAAAAAGACACATTTTATAAAACAGTCGCTACACTCTTTCAGGGTAAACCTTGCTGTTAACATTACATACATAGCACATGTGCTTTCGTTACAAGGTCGCATTTTGCCTCCTCCCACCGCGTGACTACCCCCTCAACCTTCTCCCCTCCCTGTGGCTAACAGCGGGGAACATTTCTGTTTAGCCACAGGCAAACAGCCCAGCAGGAATGGGCTCCTCTGAGTGTCCCCTGAAGAAAAGCACTCTATTTCAACTAGGTGACCATGAATTATATCTCACTCTCCTGAGGATAACACAGAGAGATAAAGAACGGATTTTGGTTGAATGCCAGCAAACATACACTGCAATGCTTTGTTCTACAGTGATTCCCGAGTACGTGTTACTGGCCTGGAGTGGTAAAGTGTCCTACCATGAAGGACGCAATAAGGCTGCCCTCCCCAGAAACCTTTTGCAAAGGCTTTAGGACTACATCTAGGAGAACCGCAAATGCCAGGGCAAAGTAATCCTTTCACATGCTTGCTTTTAAACCATGTATAGCATTTTAAAAGGTACACTCACCAGAGGTCCCTTCTCCGCCTGCTGGGTCCAGGAGGCAGCCTTGGGTGGGTTCGGGGGGTACTGGCTCCAGGTCTAGGGTGAGAAACAGTTCCTGGCTGTCGGGAAAACTGGTTTCTCCGCTTGCTTGCTGTGAGCTATCTACAATCTCCTCCTCATCATCATCTTCTTCGTCCCCAAAACCTACTTCCGTATTGCCTCCATCTCCATTGAAGGAGTCAAACAACACGGCTGGGGTAGTGGTGGCTGAACCCCCTAAAATGGCATGCAGCTCATCATAGAAGCGGCATGTTTGGGGCTCTGACCCAGAGCGGCTGTTCGCCTCTCTGGTTTTCTGGTAGGCTTGCCTCAGCTCCTTCAGTTTCACGCGGCACTGCTTCGGGTCCCTGTTATGGCCTCTGTCCTTCATGCCCTGGGAGATTTTCACAAAGGTTTTGGCATTTCGAAAACTGGAACGGAGTTCTGATAGCACGGATTCCTCTCCCCAAACAGCGATCAGATCCCGTACCTCCCGTTCGGTCCATGCTGGAGCTCTTTTGCGATTCTGGGACTCCATCATGGTCAGCTGTGCTGATGAGCTCTGCATGGTCACCTGCAGCTTGCCACGCTGGCCAAACAGGAAATGAGATTCAAAAGTTCGCGGTTCTTTTCCTGTCTACCTGGCCAGTGCATCTGAGTTGAGAGTGCTGTCCAGAGCGGTCAGAATGGAGCACTCTGGGATAGCTCCCGGAGGCCAATACCATCGAATTGTGTCCACAGTACCCCAAATTCGAACCGGCAACGTCGATTTAAGCGCTAATCCACTTGTCAGGGGTGGAGTAAGGAAATCGATTTTAAGAGCCCTTTAAGTCGAAATAAAGGGCTTCATTGTGTGGACGGGTGCAGGTTTAAATCGATTTAACGCTGCTAAATTCGACCTAAAGTCCTAGTGTAGACCAGGGCTAGGTTGTTATAATCAGAAGGTGCTGCTCATTGTTTTTTCTAGGGTTTTGTTATTGCTTTGAGTTCTCTGCTTTCCCCAGATGTTCACAGAGGAGCCTATCTGTGAGGGTTTCTGTGGCATGCTGTCACACCAGGGGTTATTACTGTAGGTAGATAGATACATGTGTCCCTTTTCCTGAACAGCAGGTCTTAGGATTCCAGATATTGCCATGTGCTAGTGGCATGTGCCTTAGGGTGAGGGATGTGTATAATAAAGGCCAGCAGAAGTTGGTGGCCAAGTTCAGCTTCCCTCCTATTACAGTGATTCATACAGAGACTGCAGTAATCTAATTAATTCAGGGGAGCTCTATTAGTGACCGTATAAACTGCAAGGATGGTGCTAGAGGCACCGGACCCCAGTGATGGAATTAATTCCATGAATCCAGCACTGTTTGCAATTCTATCAAAAACCCGAAGAGAACATTAAAGTTGCACAATTAAGTACTCGAAAGTCAGGGTATGCCGGAGAAAGTTACACGTGCAACCTTTTCTTGGCATTAAGATGCAGCCTTTAATTACATGATCACATACCATTTTAAAAAATAAAATAGGATAATACAGTTCTTGCTGCAACTTTAGTTACATGTGTAAATACCATCTCCTCATTTGTATCACTCTGCGTATACCACACAAATAGAGACTATGAAAGTCTCTCACAGAAATGCATCATGAATGAGGCCAGGGACTCCTGCAGAAGCCTGCTTTATTCCTCTCCGTCTTACAAGCTGCATCTTTCAAAGCAGGAGAAAAAATGGTGTATTGCCTTATGTGAGAAAGACCATGTGATCATGTAACTGAAGAAGTGTATGCACAAGAGAGCAGAGTTTAATGTGCATCCCTTAAGTGCTTAATTGTGCAACTTTAACTTTCCTTTAACATTTTTTTTAATGGGATTTCTTAAGTTGTTTTTCTTGAAAGGGAAAAAGATCAGTAATCTGGAATTGTTTGGCCAGGCACCACTGGAACGCCCTGGCCGTGGCAGGGTGAGACACTATGAGGCAAAGTCTGATTCAATGTATACGTTGCTCAAAGAGTATTTGCTTCACTGAGGGCTCTTTTTGTGCAGTTGAAAACTCGCTGTACCCGCCACACTGTAGTTTTCATTACATGCCATCTAACAGGTTTCAGAGTAGCAGCCGTGTTAGTCTATATTCGCAAAAAGAAAAGGAGTACTTGTGGCACCTTAGAGACTAACCAATTTATTTGAGCATAAGCTTTTGTGAGCTACAGCTCACTTCATCGGATGCGCGAAAGCTTATGCTCAAATAAATTGGTTAGTCTCTAAGGTGCCACAAGTACTCCTGTTCTTTATGCCATCTAACGTTCTTCCTGGTTAGACGACATGAAGTTAAGTGCCAATAATATGCAGACGATGCACAGCTCTGCCTATCCTTCACAAACACCCCACTAAGTCAAGTTGGCCCAGTGCTTGGATGATGATGTGGATGAAGAACAGCTGGTTGAAGCTTAACCTGAGCAAGACAGAGATGATGCTGGTGGGCAGAAGAAAGTTTTTTGACGAGTTTTTGCCACAGTGTGGGTCTTCTTTGTCTGAAGGTACACATCCACACTTGATCCATTAGATCCATCGTGTAGATTCCTAACTGATGCTGTTTTCACATTGCAACAGCTGTGAATAATGCTTTCTACCACCTCCAGTTACCTAGGAGACACTATTCCGTCCCAGCAAACAATGCCCCCGCCTCAATTATTCTCACCTCTCAGTTGGACTACAGCAATGCAATATACCTGGGCATTAAATCTTCAGCACTTCGAAAATACTGAAGCGCGTCTTCTCAGCAACCCAGGCCACCACAAACACATCACATCTGTCCTCCGCTCCCTACACTGGCTTCTCATAGAAGAGCGAATCAAGTTTGAGTGTCTCAGTCCTTATCTAAGTGCTCTGCGGCCTGGGCTCAGGGTATCTAAAAGATCAGCTGAAGCTCTGGGATGAAGGCTGTGGTTGACAGTTCTGCTGCTCTGGCACAATAAGGGTAAAGCTCGTCTGCACAGGAGACATAACGTTCTTGGGAGTCAGCCCAAGACTGGTGAATTAACTCCCCCAGGAACTAAGGACCATCACAGACCTCCCCACTGTCCACTCCAAATGCCAAATGCATCCTTTGACCTTGGCTTCTCTAACATACATGTGTCTATATTATAATAAATTTCAAAACAAAACTCTCCACTGCACACAGTTCTCCCTCTGGGGAGAGGTGGAGAGAACAGGCACACGACAGCTGTTAGTCACGTTGCTTAATGCACTACGGGAAGGCACTCAGATACTATGATGATCAGCGCAGTATAAGAACCTGAATAGAATAGAAATAATGGCAGCGAGAATAAAAGTCGAGGCAAGGGGGGAGCATTTTAATTTTCTTGTTTTCTGATGAAACGTGAAGATCATTGAGATGGAGAAACAGAAGGCTGCTCCAGAGGGTCGGAGCTGCAGAGGATAAAACTATCACTGTAGCAGTGACTAATAGAACAGAGGGGAGACTGGTGCTAGATTTTTCTTTCACAATGTTAATGAATGGAACAAAGTTGAAGACATTCTTGGAATGATTAAAGCCATAATTGGTTGAGTCAAGATAACGGGATGGCAGTGACTCAGAACTGCCATTTGAACTGCATCCCTTTAAACTACAGTTCCGAAAATGCTTATGCAACTGGAATATCGGTTAGCCTAAAGCAAGTCACTGCCCATTGTTCTAATGGCCGATCAGCGCATTGTGGCTGTTCAATGCATGGCTTACTGCACAATCCTTGTCACAATCCACTATAACTTTACACTCTGTAAGACATGCAAGAAGCAACTTCCAGCTGAGACAATCTCAGCATGGCTCCTCGTGGCGGGTCCAGAGGACAGCTTCGCTGCAGCTCACCTGTTTAAGCTGCAGCCTGTGGTTCTTTAGACCTGTAGTAACATGCCCAGGACACACACAAGGGGTCCAGACATAAGAAGTGTAAGACCTAATTGTTAGAGTACAAGAGGGAGTCAGGAGTGCTAAGTGCTGTTCCCAGATGTGCCACTGTCCGGCTGTCAGACCATCGGCAAGTCAGTTAACCTTGCTGTGCCTGTTTGCCCACTGTAAAGTGGGGATAATTATGCTAAAATGAGAGGAAAGAGGGTGTTGTGAGTATTAGTGGACTGGGACTCAGGATATATGGGTTCATTTCCCAGCTCTGTCACCATTTTCCTGTGTGGCCGTGGGCACATTTCTTAATCTCTCTGTGCCTGTTTCCTAGCTGTAAAATGGTGATACTGATACTTCCTTTTGCCTACCCGTTGTCTGTCTCATCTCTTTAGACTGCAAACTCTTTGGGGCAGGGACCCGCTATTGCTATATGTTTATACAGTGCCTCGCACAAAGGGGCCCTGAGCTCAGCTGGGGCCTCTAAAGTGCTACAGTCGTACAAAATAATCAATACCTGTGTAGCTGGGCTCTTGGGAGGGTTTCTAAAATGTGTGGAGAGTCTCAAATTGAAGGCTAAAGTGTGGTTGTTGCCTGGGAAACTCATGAGGCTGGATTTATTGATCCAAATTAATCCCTGATGACTTCAAGGGAGTTACAGCAAACGGCTCGTTTCCAAGCTGAGGGAATTTGCTTATGTATCATTTAATTGTTACGTGACAAAGCTGGAGTAGAAGGTATAAGGTATGGAGGTGTTTATACACGTGTGGGAGGGAAGGGGGGGGAGATGAAATGCCAGCACAATAGAGAGAGGTGGCAACTAGTTCCTGGAGACAGCAGTGGTATGAGTGTAGACCAGAGAAGCGTCTGGATTAAGTCCCCCAAAGCCAGTGCATGGAGACTCCCTCCTTCCCCGCAACAGCGCGGTCACTTCCCAAGGCTCAGATCACCAGCCGCTGGGCAGGGGGCATTCCATTACAAGCTCTATTAAAGTGACAATTAGTGTTAGCTGAGTGTCACAGGTGGTGAGACACTTAACAGATGCTGAGCATCCAACGTCGATCTCATAAGGAAATGAGCGTGATCATGGTTAATATTAAACAGGTATCCTCTTTCTTCTGAAGATGTGCTGAAAAGCCCAGCGCTCACAGGTATTAGAGGGACATCCCAGAGCTTTGCACCGCACCAACTCTCTGAATTCAGCAGTATGTGTGCACCACAGTGAAGTGGGCAGGGCTAAGCGCAGGGTGTGGTGTGTACCTGGACTCTAACGAAAAATCCCTCTGGTTTATGTGTCCTGAGATTTATTGCTCTGGGGATATGGGGAAGATGCCTTAGTTTTCTTTTCGGCAGTTTATAGCAGCTCAGCTCAGGGGCAAAATCTGTTTCCTTTTCCAGCCAGGTCCTTGCTTTTTCCTAATTTTACAGGTGGGTTGACTAAGTAACGAGGAAGTTAAATGACTTGCCTGAGGTCCCGGTGACTCGAGGCCCTTTCTGATTCCAGGGCCTTAGCAGAACGCACTAGATAACACAGGTTTCAGAGTAACAGCCGTGTTAGTCTGTATTCGCAAAAAGAAAAGGCGTACTTGTGGCACCTTAGAGACTAACCAATTTATTTGAGCATAAGCTTTCGTGAGCTACAGCTCACTTCATCGGATGTGAAAGCTTATGCTCAAATAAATTGGTTAGTCTCTAAGGTGCCACAAGTACTCCTTTTCTAGATAACACAGGTTCCCATTACTCTACCTG